TAGAGTAAATGTGCCGATTAAGGACCACTTAACGGAGCCCCCGCTCTGAGAGGTCGTTCTCGGGTGTCTTGACGATTTGTGGCGACAGAGAGGTATCGAACGTTAGCTTATAACACGATCTAAACGATGAAAAAACAAAAAACAAAAAAAGTGCATGTGGTGATGACATGGTGCCAGCGTAGTATTCTTCATTTGTCAGGGGAAAATACCGGTAAAACACAAATGCCCCGATTAAGGACCACTTCGAATTCGTAGTGATTGCGCACGTTCTAATGATTTCCAGAACTTTTCCTCTGGCAAGTATCGTTATGGTAGTTATACAAAGCATTTCCGAAAATAATATTAAAAAAAAAATGCATGCCCGGGGACAAAAACAAGAAATCCCCGTGGTTTTTTGCCTGTTTTTGGGCCAAAAATGGATTACAGTGGACACCACGCTAAGAGTTTTCAAGCGTTTTTTGCCCGTTTTTTCTTCGGCATCGTGGCAAGCACCCCTAAAATAGACACCATGCAAATTTTTGTCGTCATCCGGGTTGATGTAGTCTCTATCTGACATACAGACGCGATTGTTGCCCCCATTTGGACGAAAATCGAGGGGGCAAAATAGAAAAAAAAGGAAAACAAAGCGGGTGAAAAAATGAAATGCACGATCCAATGCTCGAACCTACCTCGTGCTGTGTCTATGGAGAGCAAGAAAACGCTAGACCACATAGTGACCTACCGTTCGAGGAAAACTGCCGATATATAGGTCAATATTATGACCTGGCTTAGCCGGAGCCATCACACAGCACCAAAAACAAAAAATGCATACATCACCTGGCGCAGAAAGGTGTGTAGAACGAAGTCCTCCACCAAATTGAGTAAACTTAGGCTTAAACGAAAGGTGAGGTCCATAGCAACACGAAGAAAAAAACAGAAAGGCTTTCCGCGATGGTATCGGCAAGATATGTTTTTTTGAAAAAAAAAGTGGTCCCTAATAGGGGGGTGGTCCTTAATACCCACACTTACTCTAGTCAAAAGTTATGGCCGGTCAACCAAAATCGGTCTCACACTTTCCGGCACTGTACGCGATTAGAGACACAAAAGATCAACACGCTTGTGGAACCCACCCAACTCACCACCACCGTGGACTGCCCGCGTTGTAGTCAAGGCATGACAGTCTAGTGAGCCCAAAATCATTTTCAGTTATATTTCTCGTCCGATACCAGCTACTCCAAGCACGACAAGAACGTCATTGGATGCTTGTGAAGGTACTTCCTGGATATCCGAGGTGGTGCTCATGCCCCCCTCCTCTCCCCGCTCTCTCTCTCTCTCTCTCTCTCTCTCTCTCTCCTTCTCTCTCTCTCTCTCTCTCTCTCTACACGACTTCAACAGGAGCTGTTAAGACTGTACGACAAGCCCAAGGTGTCTCAGCTGGAGGCAGTTCTTTTCAAGAGGATCACTGAGGATGAAGCGAGGCACATCTTGTTTCTTCCGGATCACGACCAAGCGGCGCACTACCCGACGTTGATCGCCAACCCTCCCAAGGGGGCGCCTGCGGAGCACCCTCAGCGCGCTCTCCAGGTGCCCGGGTCGTCCTTTTCGTCATGCCATTCACAAGCCGTCGCTCGCAGGTTTCTCATGTAGAAACCTACGCGCTTGCCTCTCGAACTGAACTGCTCCAATTCGGGACCACGCAGAAGGATTCCTCCGGAGTGTATTCCCTGCTTGCAGTCAAGGCGTGTGTTCGTTCTCGTTTTACACGCAGTGTAGGTCCGACGAAATATTGAAGACAGCACACACACAGTTTCTGAATTAAATCAACGAATTTCGCAGCACACACATGTGCGTACATACATATATGACGCAGTTCCCGTAGGGGGTGAGGAGTTGAACCAGACCGCATTCAAGCCAACGACCAATGTATGCACTGACTGTCTTGTCCATGCACATAATATGTATCCCTTGTTGCTTGCTGGTTTGAACATGGAACGGAACAATGGTAAACAACGTCGACGCCGCCGCCACCGACGGTGACGGCAATGGCAGGTCCCGCACCTGAGCCTCCTGTACCTACATCACTTGAAGCGGTGGGACTTCGTGTCCGCCTTTGTGCTATCGGGCGGCCTGCACGCCCTCTGCTCCTTGTTCACGCACGACAACCTCGTCATCAGAATGAAGGCCATCACCAGCCTCGTCAGCATCACCGCCCACCCAGGCTTCGACTGGTTTGCCCCGCCTCCTGGCCGCATCAAAGGCAAAACAAACAACAGCAACACAACTGAAGCAAGGCTGCACCGCGCACTACTAGGCCTCCGATCGGAGCCCGCGTTCATCTCCGGCCTCATAGCTAACTCTTGGAGCGGGGGTGCGGCCGATGATACGGACGCAACTGCGATCAAAGCAACAGACGGGGGTCGGGGAGACAAGACGTTTCCCGGAGCTTGTCTGATGTGCCTGGAGGTGAGCCGACAGTTGAAACCCTCATGAAGTCCACAAGCTCGCCGTGTCTTGTTGAACTCGCAACACCACCTGTGTACAGGGCGAGTTACCGTGGATGGGTGTCAAGGCTGCCTGTGCACCTGCTACGAGCCTCTTGGTTTGGCAGCGTGCGGGTAGGTTTGAACACGCACACGATCGCGTACGTTGCCGTCCCTTGCCCCCCGGCCCGCCTCGTTGACACAGCGACCACCTCCTCTTTGATTCGCGCCCGTGACGCACCCTCGACCTCCGCACTTGGTTGCGGGGCACCGCAGTTGCTGGCGATGTGGCTCAGCTGGGTCCGCGCCCTGCACACGGTAGACGGTACGCTCCGGCTCAGCCGTCCCCTGTTCCGCGCCATCGAAGAGTGGGCGGGCAAAGGTGGCGAGCGAGAAGGAAACATCGAGTGGAGTGATGAGAGGCTGCCGTTGACGACCCTGCCGCATACGAAGAAGCCGTGTGGCGACGGCAAGGCAGAGGGAGGAGGTGCTATCGTCGTCGCTAGTGGAGAAGTTGTCGATGTTGTTGCTATTGGGGGCGCTGACGTAACCAAGAAAGAAAAAATAACTCCTGCGGCAGTGTTGGCAGAGAAAGACTCAGGAGCGGCGGCGGCGGAGGCGGCGGCCGAGGGCGACGGGAGTTCGACCGGCGGAGGGGCGCCTGCCGGCGATATCGAGGCCGAAACGGCGGCCATGATTCAGGCGGAACGCAAGGAGCGCGCCGAGGTGCTCGAGCTCTCCAGGAAGCTTGTGGCCGACTTCGCCCGTTTCCCCCCGGCGGAGCAGGAGTGGGAAGGGGTGGAAGAAGACGGCGGGGAGAGAAGTGGTGGCGATCTCCCCCGGGGAGGCGGAGCCGCCGCTCCGGCACCGAACGAGGAAGGAGGGTCGTCGACGGCAGCGGGCGGGGGCTGCTGCGACGATGAAGCGCGCGGTTCCGGCGACAGCGGCGGCAGAGAGGAAACAAGCAAAGCAGGCGGGGGGACACGCTCTTCTCTTCCGTCCGGAGCGGCAGAAGCAGCACCGGAGCCTCCTCCGACGTCAGCCTTCACTCGCAAAGCCCTTGCGCTCAAGATTGAAGGCAACGAAGCTTTCGGAGAGGGAGACATGCAAGCGGCGATGGAGGCGTACACAAAGGCGCTTGGCGTTTTGAACGGGGCCGCCACGGAGACCCGGCCCTTGGAGGGTGCGCCGAAGAACAAGATGACGACGACGACGACGACGACGGAAGAGTTGGAAGCATCTCGGGCCGAGGCTACCGTGCTAAGCGGGGTCCTGCATAGGAACCGCGCGGCGGTGGCGCTGCGCTTGTTTAACTCCAAGGCGGCGGCGGCGGCGGTCGCGAAAGAAAGAGCCACCGAAGACAATCAAAAGAACGAGGCCGCACCACGAGGTGATGGGGTCGATGGTGGGATCATCAGCAGCGCCGCCAGCTGTTCGCGACGCCAGCCTTCGACACACCCGACGCCGCCAGGCCGGAGGCGAAGGGTCTCGTCCGGCGAGGAGCGAAGAACCCAAGAACAAACGGACGACGTGCGCAAATCCCTCGAGCTGTCGCTCGCGCTGCTGGAGGAGTGCGAAAGCGACTGCTTGAGGGCGATCGAGGTTGACGCCGGCGATAAGAAGGCCCGCCTGCGGCTGGACAAATGCCGGGAGCTGCGCCGGAGGTGTTACCGGGGGGGGCTGGCCTCCGCTTCCGCCGGCAGGGAGGGTTGCTCGACTGCCCACTCTAGGCAGGACGAAAGGTGTGGGCGTTGTTTCTGAGCTAAATGGGGTCCTGCTTAGATGCCGCTGTACATACGTAGCTGAGTAGCTCGCGAAGGAACGCCTTCTCAACTATACGGCAAGCGTTGCTTCGAACAGGACTGTTCCCTCGTCACCCTCCTTTGGTTCCCACAGCGTGAACTGTATTCAAATAGATGTAGATCCCAATAGCTGTCGATTAGCACGGCAGAACCGGAGGAACAATAGCAAGATTCAGGGCACCCACATAACACGTATAACATCCATCGCTGCCTCCCCCCTTCCATCGGAGATGTTTCAAGCTCGAAAAAGGCGTTTGGACGTGAACGCTCGAGAAGGAGACAAGATGGAAGCAGATGGGCGTGACATGATTTAAATTTGGCAAAGTAGAACATAGTGAGCGAACGATCGGAATTGGAATGGAGAAGTAAGACCAGTAAAGAGCGATGTCCCCGTTGGAGAGCGAGTACGACCCCTCCCAACGTCGAAACTAATTCCAACAAAAACAATGCGCGTTTGATATGTTACAACTACAACCCCGCTACCCCCTTCCCGCGCCCCTCTCTGTCACTCTGTCTCTCTGTCTCTCTGTCTCTCTCCGGACAGTCTCCAGGGGCGAAAGGCCGATCTTGTTGCCAAGATCCTCGCCCGAGCAGAAAAGTCTCACGAGATCACCGGAGGAAGCGGCGGCAGCAATAAGACAACCACACCCGCTGCTACCACCGCCGCCGCCACCGTCCCCAAGGACTCATCCTTCTCGACCGCAAGCGACGGCGGTTCTAGCCATGGCACAACCGCTGTGTCCGGCGACAGCGGCGGCGGCGACGCAAACAAAGCGTTGCTTGCGGGCGCGAGCCGGCACGGCGCCAGGGTTGACAGCGGTGGCCGCGGCGGCGATGATTGTGAGGACCGGGAGGGACTGCCAGCGGCAGCTACCGCCAAAGGCGGGGCGGCTCCCGTTCGTGCCCGGAAGCAGAGTGAGCGCCACGCGCCGCGAGAGGGTGGGGAGTTGAGAGGGGCGGCGGTCGCCCGAGCCTCTGCCGAACACACCGCGGCTGCCGCAAGCACTCGACACGGGATGAAACGCCACCACCACGAGCAGGAGACAACACCCCCCCCTGCGGGTTTGCCGTCCGACGGTCCCCTCCGTGGTAGCGGTAATAATAGCGGTGTGGTTGGAGCAGACCGTATGGTCTCGAACGGAGACCTCGGCAAGAAAACTCAGAAGAAGAAGAAGGTGGTATCGAAGGAGAAGAAGAAGAAGAAGAGCGGCGAGCACGGCCAAGGCAACAGCGCGGCGCGATCGTCCCGGCACGGCAAGGCCGACGCGGTGGCCGTGCGGAGCCTCCGCCAGCGCCTGGAGGGCGTCGCCGCGAGAGCGGCGAAGGCGGGCGCGGGGCAAGAGGGCGGGGACAAGAGACAGGAGGAGGCCGCAAGGGAGGTGTGGAGTGTTCTCGCCGACGGTGGGGTCTCGCTGGAGAAGCTCTTCGGGGACGGGATCACGGCGGAGACCCTCGTGGGCGTCGCGCTGGGCCTGAGGCACGGATGCGGGATCGACGGCGGCACGAGCGATGCCGAGCGGGCGAGTAAGGTGAGTAGGTTGTGAGCATCTCGGGCGGGACGTGGGCGTAGGGGTACAAGGACGTTTTGTCATGGACTTACTTGTCCTGCCTGTCGATTCGCGTCGACAGAACTTCACATGTTAGACGGCTTGAAACGCTACCACCCTGCAGCTTAAACACACACACACCAATAGCTTGCCAACACACACACCAAAAACGCTCCCCCTCCATGGTTGGTTCCGGATTGGAGCTGCTGCGGACAATCGGGCGTCGAGCTGCCTCCCTTCTCTCGCCGCCAGATCCAGCACCCAAACTTGCTCTCCTTTGCCCGACCCTCCGCGTTCACCGGTGTAACCGGCGTCGGCACAAACTCAGTACGGTCGGCCCGGCACCCGTTTTCATGTGCACGCTGCCCCCCCTCTCTGCTGCCGTCCCACACGCACGTGCAGCTCTTCGTGGAGCTCTCAATGGTGAAAAGGGTGGGCCTGGTGTCTGCCATGTGCTCGGCGGACGACAGGCTGCCCCTACAAGACGCCTCGGATTGCATCCGTCGGCACCACCAAGGAAGCCCCAAGGAGCACTGCGGCCGGCGTCTTCGGCCGAAGGGATGCAGCGGCGGCGGTGGCAACGACGGAGAAAAAGACGAAGCCTTGCCACAGGGGTGTGGAGGAGAGAGTCGCCGATCGGCGTTCGAAGCTGCTGTTTTCACGCTGGGGTTGTCACAGTAATGGTGGTATGTAGCACTGGAGTCTCCTCTACACGCAGCTGTGGCGTGCCATTCTTGCACCCCCAGGTGGAAGATTCCCGCCCCTTGCGATGTCGTGCACGAGGCAGAGGAAGAACTTTCTGACGAGGTAGGGCGGCACGCGCTCCGCCTACCCACCCGCCCCAGCTACGACCTCTAGACTATGTATTTGGTAGAGGTGCGTGTTCTCCTTGTGCGTCATCACCATGTACGGTGTTTGATGTCGTCCTTCTGTGAAGAGCTGTGCGGAGGCAGACAGTTGAGCAGCAATGGGTTCGTGAATGGCATGGCGGAAGGGGGGGGGGGTACTCATAGCCGTGCATGTAGTCGTTAGACCATTGACCTCGCGTCCCTACAAAGCCGGGACGGAGCACGCCGGGTTCTCACCGGACCAGGCTCTCACATCACCAAGCGCGAAGCGGCGTGAGGTATGCGGCGAGTCGTGTGAAGGGTGCGCTGCATCCTGCCAAGGGTGTTCGGGTGGGTACTGAGAGTCGGGCATGCCGTAGTCGTTAGGCCACTGACGTCGCATCTCCACAAAGACGGACGGCTTCTATTTGCGCATCGACGTTGTTCTTCAAGATTCAATATCTACGCTCCTGTTTGTCAGGAGACACGAGAGAGAGCAAATGGTGATGGTCGGAGAAGAGATTCTTCCGCGAGAAGCTGAACTGCTTGCATTGTGGCAAAATGTTACGGCGGCGGTTAAATGGTAAACCCGGCATGCGAACGGTTCGTTCCACGAATACAACATCGTGGTGGTACTCGATAGGGCCTTGACCGTATCGCCCACGCTACGTAACCTTCCGGTAACCGTTCGAAACACCAGAACGGAGGGTTGCGAGTTGGAACGCGCGCCGCACATGATGGCTTTCTTTGTAGTACACCGCGTTTAGAGCTCTCTTGAAGGAAACAGTGAGACCATGTGGCATCATCACCGTAGGACTGCCCCTCGAGAGTTTTCTCGAGGGGATGCGTTGAAGTCTTTCCAGATGGTGAGCAAGACGGACAGATAGAGCTCACACTACACGTAAACCAGTAAAGCCACACGGGGTCCTCGGCAACACGCCTACGTCCCCTTTTCGAGGAGGTTTCCAGTATCTGCGGTTGAATATTCGAGAGGGGCAGACGACTTAGTCCAATGATGGGAGAAAATGGGTTTTGCTTTCTTTTTATTCAGGCCTATCATCAGGGCCCTGATCTTGAGATGGGGTCCACAATGACTTCCCCTGAAGCTCACTCTCACCTTTCTTACGCTCGCTAGTCAAGCCACGCTTGTCCAGCTCGACAATTCATCGCCTCATATGCCTACCTACAGTTAGTTGCCGAACAAGGCCACGCGACTCGAAAGGGGGTGGGGTGGGGACGGGTGGTGGAGATCCCCCTCAGAAATTGTACAAACGCCTTTCTCAACACGTGTGGCACGCACTTCGCTGGTTGGTCGACGCACCTGCGGCTGAATCAAAAATGTAAAAAAAAAACAGGGCACGACCCAAGATGGTGAGAAAAAATATGAGCGGGACAGAATCCACGAGGCATCGGCTAATCAGATTCCTCTATTTCACATGAGGACCGAATGATCCCTGCCGGATGCTGGACGTGGGTGAGAGTCTGTCATCATCCTAAAACTCATTATTCTGTCATGGCAGCAGAAACACAAACCACATCCATGCCATATGCGTGTATAGATGCGTAATTTTATTAGGACTAGTCGTCCAAACGTTGCCTTGTTTAGGCGGCCGCGACATTCTAAGGTCAACAGCAATGCAAGAGTTTGTTCACTAGCTTCAACACTATTTACAGACACACGTCGCCACGAACCCCGACTGGGCATACATGTGTGCCCAAAACGACAAACACAAAACAAATAAAAAAAATGTTTCGACGACAGATACGGCCGTCGAACACAAGCCCCCCTCACAAACAGCACATAAACAGTTTCCTTTATAGATCCAGTTATCGCGGCGTGGTACGTAACAAAGGCGCCGCCAGCACCGCGTCGTGCCCCAGGGGAGTGGAGGCGTGCACACGACAGGCTGTCTCAAATAGTCTATACCGTGCCGGGCGGCACTCACTCCCAGACTGGCATTCCACATGCGCGTCCTAGCAACACTGCCACCGGAAGCATCTTCCCCGAGATGAAACACTACATAGCACGCCAAAATATCAACATCTCAGGAAAACCAGGAGCACAAAAATCCGGATTAAGCAGGCTGTGCCTCTCGCAATCGCCTCTCGGTGGCTCTATCTAGGATGCCGAGACGAGTTAGTCCGACTAGTTCATCCCGAAACAACGACACAAGCACATTCATTCGCGGGGGCGCAAACAATACATCACAAGCTCGAGCCTTTGCCATACCCCCGCTATCTAGTCACTCTTTCCATCTCCTTCTCCGAGGCTCAATCGATCTGTCTCTACCGCTACCCGTGGCAGGCCCCCTGCCCCCCCCTCTCTCCAGACCCTGGAGATTCCGCCGCAATCTCCGGCTTCCACCTCTTCAAACCTCTTCTACGCCCGGGCCGCGCCCCTCCCCCACCAGGCCCCTCTACCGCGGGCTCCCCCACAACCCCGGCACCGCGACGACCCCTATCCCTCCGGCTGCTACCGCCGCTTGTCAGCAACGCCGAGGGGTCAAAGCCCCCGTTAAGGCCGTCCTCGTCGTTGCGTGTCCCGTGGTCCGCCAGAGAGTGGTGGCGGCGGTGGTGGTCGCCACCGCCGCCGTCGAGGGCAGCCTCGAGGAGCCTCGGCTCCGCGGTGGCGAACAGGTTGTCCTCGCCCTTCGTGATGTTGGTCCAGGCCTGATGCCTGCGTGGTTGAACAGGGGGG